TTTTCCGAAATTTGATTTTTTACCGCTCGATTTGATATATAGTACATATGCATACTCACAGACTGTACACATGTTTTCGTATCCATGAACTATCGCTATGGTTTGCTCTTTATCTGGTGGTATTTATTTTGTTTTGCTCATATTTGATCTACGCACAACTAGGTGGAACAGACATATATGAGAACATGAGTTAAAAATTTTGCTATGCATATGTCGTACGATACAATTAAATGAGTAAACGTTTCTATTTATCGGCAACTATAAATTATTCTAAATATATCTGAACTATTCGAATACCCGCCGTTTGCATTTATCTAATTTCAAAATTCAACTTTAATATATATCTGTTTATTTATCAATAATATTTATATATATAAATATTTGTGTCTAGTTTACAATTAGCAAAAAGTTTAAGTTTAAATATTGAAATACGTTTAAGTTACTTGCAACTTGTTTGGTTTTAGTTTTTTATAATGAAATAATTTCATTAAACATTTCAGTCATTGTAATTTTTTTGGTTTTGAAAGACAAGCCTCAAAACTTGAACTTAGATGGTCGCATGGCTTATCTTATGGGAAACATATAAATTCCTCTGTTTTTTTTTTCGTTTCTAAACCTAAAAACAGGCATTGGATTTACTTAGTTTTGGGCGATATTTTCAGGGAAGCAAAAAGGGAGGAAAAAGCGTCGAGCATACGACCCGTTGAACCGAACCAACAACCAACCGAACCAACTCAACTTTTCCAATTAATCAACGGGGGGCGCATTTTAATGGCCGCTGTAGCTGTCGTCATTGCCTCATAAATATTCATGCTGTCAATGCGCATAAATACCTAAGTGCATATTTATGGTCCAACATTTGTCGTTATGAGTTTTACATTTATGGCTTTTATACTTTATTAATTAATATGCAGGCCAGCAAGCGGCATTTTTGTGATTCATGCGCCTGCAGCCTAATGGTCACGATAATTGCTCCAAGAGCGTTTGAAAAATATATGTATATCACAGACCCTCGAAAATTCCGGTCGCCGCCGAAGCGTTCAAGCGATTTTGGCAACAATGCAATTCCATGTTTGCACATTTCACGTTTTTATCATGTGGGTGGATCGTAAACGAAAGTGAACGCCGTTTTATTGATGGCTTTGATGCTTTTATTCGAATTTATTTAAGTGTTGCCATTTATTTGCTATTTTTGTAATTTTGAACAACGGATTTGGGCAAAAGTTACGCATAAATAAATATTTCTCTTCATGATAGACAGTAATTCCCAAAAAATGCAACTAAATATTTACCATCAGTTGCAAAATACTCTGAAAATGCCGCAACCGCAAACAGGCATGCATTTAAAGTACCTTATCCCTGCCTATCCGATTTTCTATAAATACCTCTGCAATTTGCCAAGTTAATCAGGCATTAAATTGGCTTATGGCATATATTGCATGGCGCCGAAATAGATGTTGACAGAAATGCAAATTCTAATTACGCATTTTGCGCTATAAATAATTAAATTTCACAAGCGAATTTGTGGCCTCTGGCACTCGGAATTAAAATGTAAAAAAAAAACACAAGTAAAACAATAACACTACAGTAATCTAAAATGTTTTTATGTAATTATTGCAAATGCTTAACGCTTATTTTTGTTATTTACTCGAATTAAGACCACTCCCTTGTTGACTCGAAACAATTAAGGCAAACAAAGCAAAAAAATTTGCATTCCAAATCTCATAATTCAATTATGGGAATTAATTTAAACAGCACCGAATTATTTAAAAATTTTTTTCCCCATTTTTATGCGCTTTATTTGTTTTTTGTTTGGCTACTTTTGTAATGATAAATTTAAATTGTTGTCAAGCATTTAATTTATGGTGATTGCTAATTGCGACGTTAATTGCAATTTTATTAATGGACTCTAGTAAATTTAACTGAAGCGGTTCCCCCAAAAAATTTAGATATCACAAAGGACGACGTTGCGTTTTGGTCGGATGGTCTAAAATGCCTGGCAGCTTTTTACGCTTTAAGTGAAAATGACTTTCAGTGTGCTGGTGAAACAATGCCTTTCGTGGAATGCCGTTCGACACTCATCTGGCTGTCGCACCTAAGTGCAGTTAAGTGCTGTGTGTGTATGGCCTGTATTTGTGTTTACATTGAAAAAAAATTCAAAACGTTCAAAAAGCTGACTTCAAATTTAGTCAAAAAATTTAACAATAAAAATTATTTTAAAAAATAAATTCCTAGATACCTTTAAATCCAACATAAATTAATTGATCATAAATTTATAATATCCACAAAAATGTAAGTTATAAGTTCCAATTTTACATTTAGATAAGATAACTATGGAATTTTTAAAAAAATTTGTCCTAAAATTTGTATAACTCTCTGTGTACGTCGCGCATTTTAATGTGCCTGCTGCACCACCTGCAGCACCACCCCCACTCGCTTTTCCCTTGCTGTCGATTTCAATTGTTTTCGATTTCGCTTTGTGCACGACGGTCCTTTTTTTTTTGTTCTACCATTTAGCTTGTTGTTGTAGCTGTTTTTGTTGGACTTTCTGTCGTTGTTCAAATTGTCATTTGAGTGCAGTTGTTGTACACACATTGCTGACAATGCCAAAACGTTCAGCAGGATGCTATGTGATCCATAAAAAATGCAGGCACCAAAAGCCTTCGGTGTTTGTCTTTCAACACCATCAAAGTTCCTGCGTCGATTTCCATTTATTCAAATGGAACACATCCCTGAGCACAGCCTGAGCACATGGCCGATCGCGGTCACATTATTTATGCGTTCTTCAGCAATTTTAAGAGGTCTTCGGCAACCACAAGCACTTAGCCTATGGCCAAAACTATAAATCTGATCAATCTTCGGCTCGGCCGACATGTGTTGAAAGGTCGGACGTTGCTAAGAGCTGCCATAAATATTTGGTGCCATGGAACAAGGCGATTACAGATGGTATATTGAAGATTGAAGATTGCTCTAAGCAGATTACGATTTGCTGGGCGTGGCCAATAGTGGTCACAAGTGGCTCGCAGATTTAGTTGCTACCTTGCCACAAAGTGTCCAAAAAATATGAGAGACAAAGCCATCACACAGGAAGTAAAATAAATTGCACGTAAAATGTATGCATAGACTGTCGGCCTGACGGTCCGTGTTTGTATGGGTTCTGGGCCGAACTATATATATATTTTTCCTTTGGCATTTTTTTTTTTGGCTTTTTTGGCTTTGGCCAGCAAAACAAGCCCAACCAGCCAAACGAAATGGAGAGCCATTCTGGGCCACATGCCAAAAACAGAGTCTGTCTGTCCGCCCCCCTCCTCCCGGTCGCTCCTCTGTCTCCATCTTCGTCTAACTTGGTGTCATTGTAGCGTTCCAGTGACGACTGTCCCTCCGTTCGACTGACTGAATGACTGCCTGAATGACTGACTGACTGGGTGACGGGCTGTCTATTCCACTCGGACGGGCGCATGCATTTGCTGATGCATAGCCAAAAACTAAAGTGGGAAATGGTGGAGAAAATGGTGAAAGGTGCACGGTAAAAAATAATGCCTCCAATTTGATATGTATAAATTAGGCACACTACTAAACTAAAAACTTGTAATGATCTTTATCCTCAACACAAAACATGGAAATATTTTTTTTACCAAGTATTAAATGTTTTAAAAAAAGTTCTAACATTAGAATAGAATAATTATTTTGAATGCCTGCTAATGTAAAATTAAAATACTTAATTGATCTTTATCCTCACTACAAAAAAGAAATTAATTAAATTTAAATTAACATGAAAATGCTATTTTACTGAGTATTAAATTTATTTGTTGGAGCTTGAACAGCACCCTTTCAACATATAAATCAAATCACCACTTTAATTGATTACTCAAACAAAATTCCAAGTAACTTAGTAAATGCCGTGATTCAGGTATATCAAAAAATTGAGTTTTAAGTTTAAATGTCATACCTACATAATTGTAATTGAGTAACTGAAACTATATTTAAAAATCAACAATTTAATATTAACAAAGATAATTATTAAAGCATTGTTTATAAAAACAAAAGAAATTAGTGCCTAAATATAACAACATTTTACTAAATCACAAAGCGACTAAGAGATTTCTGAGTGTAGAAGCCAACCATTAGTATTTGCATCTGTCTGTGCCCATTAGGCATTGGTTCCCATACATTTGGTTTATTTTTTCAGGGCTCCCACTTTCTGTGTCGCTGAGTGAAATATCTTTGAGCGAATGCATAAAGCTGCGGCTGTCGCTGTTTCTGTTTCTGTTTCTGTTCCCATAGCTGTGTGCTCTGCTCACTTCGTTACGCCAAATTGTGTGGCCGTTGTGCTAGACTATAGTTACATTTATGTGTACATGGAATTATTGATTTGGCCGCCAGCCAAATGCAGCCTCGCAATCGCAGGCGCCCTGACGCTGAGAGTTTTGTCGAAGCAGTGGAAGTGGATAAGCGGTTGCCAAAAATATTAAAAAGAAATTAAATTAATTTGCTGCCAACGTTCTGCAACTGCAACGCACACTTGTTGACCTCGATTGTGATGGCCAACGCACAACAATGGTGGTCTAGTGGCCCGAGTGGATCACGGGTTACGTTTACCTGACTCCTGACACACTTGCAGACTGAACTGAAGTTCGGCATTGGCAGTGCAGTCGCAAATGGAAATTTGCGAAATTATTTCAAGTTGAATGGCCATAGACGTCGCAGGCGGACACATCCATTCAGGGAGCATAATAGATGTTTGCCCAGCTCAAATTCTTGTTTGCACAGCTCATGCATTTCTATGAGCTCGTCGAGTGTGAAAAGTGTGTGGGCGGCGGTGAGGTTCAGCGGGCTAAGGGGATTCTGGGCGGCCTCTGGGATTGGGGTCTCTGGGTTCTGGGCTCTGGGCTCTGGGTTCAAGGGTGCTCGAGAAACCAAACGAAACGAAACCAAAATGCGTAAATTGAAATTGAGAGATTCCATCAAATTCACAGCCGTTCATTGCTTTTGAAATGAGCTACAATGTTCGTTACTTTTTTATTCAAACAAAAAATTCAAAGAAAGCTGGGGAAAAGGGTTAAGTGAATGGGTATGGCTAGAATTGCAAAACGATCGATTGTCAGTACAGTCGATTATTTCGATAGCATGAGCTATCAGGTAAACGGAATATGTCGATAAATTAGATAGCAGGAACTATCGGGTGAAATGTTTAGGATATCGATATTATAGTTCGTATTTTTAAAATTAAAGCTAAAAAAATATTATTTCTACTATATTTTTTTTTTAGTAAAGATGAGTAACAGATTGACAGTACCTTCGATAGTTTTGCAGCTCTGGGGAGTGGGAATGGGATCTGGGAGGGGGCGGGGGGCCTATGGCATAACCAAAACGAAGCAAATCTAACGCCTGTAGTGCTGATACATGCCATGACCATAGCCCATGGGTGTGCTGCCCATGGCACGTTCGGTTGCCTTCTCGATGCTGGCGTAAACGCACCTGTAACAGCACACGTAGGCCAAACATCACTTGAACAGGATGCGCCGGAAGGCGCGTCGGAAGTCCTTGTTGAAGATGGTGTAGATGGCCGGATTGAGGGCCGAGTTCATGTAGCCCAGCCAGAAGGCGACGGCGAAGGCCGACTCCGGTATGTTGCAGTGGCTGCTACATGCCGGCACCAGGATGTAAAGGAAGAAGAACGGCAGCCAGCAGGCGATGAAGCTGCCCATGATCAGGCCCAGGATCAAAGTGGCCCGTTTCTCCTTCTTCCGCGCAATCCGTCGCTTCTCCTTCTCCGGATCCCGGGGCTTCGGCGTCTTCGGTATGGCCGGCTCCAGTTCCGCCTTCACCACATGCTGCTGATGCTGCTGCTGCTGCTGCTGCTGCTGTTGATGCTGGTTTTTGGCGGCCGCTGCAGCGGGCTGCTGGTTTTTGGCCGCCGCTTTGGCCTCGTTGCGACGCTGCTGGTTATTGGACTTGCGCCCGAAGATCGGCTGGCAAAGGCGAAACTTGAGCGGCTTGACCACGGCACAGCGACTGACCACGCCCGAATCGCTGCTGGATGGATCGAATTCACTCACCATGTCCGTGTCTACGCCCACGGATAGGGCCCGACACCGTCCGGCGATCGGCGAGACGCGCAGCTCGTTGCCGCCCGTCTGCAGTCCCCCTGTCGCCGCCCCTGCACTGCCATTGCCCCCGGCTCCACCGGTAGCTGCGCCGCCGTCCATGGCCACGCTGCCGTTGTTGTTGTTCAGCGCATTGATGGAGTTGTTGCTGCCCATCGAGGGGGGCACGGGCACATTGAGGCCCACCCGGCCGGTGGCTATCGTGCTCACCTGCAGCGTCTCCTTGGGTGAGGTGGGTGGTCCTCCTCCACCTCCTCCTCCTCCTCCACCATTCCCGCTGCTCACCACGGTGACCGCATTCGAGCCCGACCCATTGGGATTGGCGTAGGCGAGCACCGTTTGGGCGGCCACCGCCTCCAGTTCCCCCGCCTCCGATGTGGAGATGTCCGAGGCCAGGTCCATGGTGACCGTGGGAATCTGCATCGGCAGGCTGGCGCTGTTCGGTGGTGTCTCGATGGTGGCTATCTGGCGCTGCTGGTGCAGCTGCAGAGCGGACGCGCCGCTAGAGGAGGGCATCGGTATTGTTCCTTTCTTGGCGGTGGTGAAGCTCGTTACCTGCAGTGAAAAGGTCAAGGAATAACCATTAGTTACCCAAAAGGGCACAAGCAGCAATCAAAAATTCTAGCAAGTCTATATAAATAATATATAATTGGGGATTTTAACTTTAGTAATCTTTAAAACAATATATTCACCAAAACAAGTAGGATCATTTCAATTTTGACATATGTGGGTTATAACAACATTTGAAAAAATAATGAATGCTTTTAGTTATGGTTTAACAATATTAGATAATTAACAAGTTTCTGAAAATATTTTATGATGTTAATCTTAGTGATACAACACCAAAAAAATTAAACATTTAATTGTTTGAAACTTACTTAAAATAAATTAAACACATATTAATTTATTTAAAAGGAAAATTGTATATTTCAATGTTCTTTTTATTTTAAATTAAAATTTTTACATATTTAAAAATGAAAGTGTAACCCACAAGTGTAAAATCTGTAGCGAAAATATTTATTTCAAAGTGAAAATATTTCTATGGCTGTATCGAAACACAGACTAATTTATATTTTTTTTTATTTTTCTTTGGGTTTTTCCAATTTTGATTTCTATCAAAAAAAGACTTTCAAATAGTTAGATATTTAAGGTTTAAGAGATCATAAAGTTGAATGCACCTCATTTTGGCACACAGTCTCATAGTTCTCAAGGCTATGTGTGATTAACAATCTCACATGCTCGGGCATTGCAAATTAGGTTGCAGATTCGCATCCGTGCAACTGCAGTCGAGAGCAGGGACAGATGGCCCAACACTTGCTACAACAGTTTTCCATTTCGAAAATCCTGTTTAAGCCAACAGCCGGGAGAAGCGCGTCCGAGCGCGCGGATTACACAAACATGGAGCGAGGGCTGTTGCCTTTGGATGCAGCGCTGGGAGGGGCTGTGCATATTCAATGCTCGAAAAGCAGCAACAATTACCCCGGGCAATTAACAGAGACACAGAGCGTCCCAACGAAAATGAAAATAAAATAAGGGGTGTGGCAGCAATCGAAAGTTGGGATACCCCTTTAATTTGTTTTGTTTAGTAAAAGTTAAAAAAAATGAACTTAAAGTAAACAAACAATTGTTGGCCTAGTCCGTTTAATCTGTTTAAATAGCTTAGAAAATCTTACCATAATTTTTTTTATGGTTTTAGGAACGCTTACTGTTTTTCAACCTAAAACAAAAGCGGCTCACAAATAATAAAACAAATGTAAGATGTATAATTAGAAAGACCTACCAACTTACTACGGTTATAAATATCTTATTCTTAACCAAATTTGAAAATTTAAAACCATTTTTAGCTTGCAGAAAGGAATCACACGCATAATACACTTTTTTAAAGTGACATTTGACATTTGTTCATGTCTTTTTCTTTGCACTTTTCCGTACTGAGTTATCATACCTTAGTAATGGGTGTAGAACAACGCTCAGAGCAAATCGCGTTGTCAGCATATGTGTGAAAATCTTCTCTCTGTTTTCCGTGCTTTCAGTTTTTCCTCTGCTACCGTTGTCTCTGCTTGTTTTTCCTCCACCGCCGTCCCTCCGAAAACCCCTTTCCCTGCCTTCCCTGTTGGTTAATCGCTCGTTTGGGCCGCTGCTCTTGAATTTGTTTGCCCAAAATGGCCGAGTAGTGTCGCTGATATTGCCAGCACTGTCCAGTCGGTAATGTCTTTCACCTCCCACTGGCCTTCCTTTCTTTTTTTGTTAGCTGTGTGCATTGCGCATACAGTTAATTGAAAATGCAAATTGCGTATGAATTGGTCGGCAAGCGCATTGGCACTCGTTGCGGCAGGTAATTGACGATCATTAGAGACTTTTCACTCAATCAGTGGATTTGGGGTGGAGTTTCGATTAAATTTTCAGCGATAATTTTCGAACAAAGGCCGTTAAGAGCGGGTGTGGAGTCAGCAAATGCCATTGCATTGAATGGCCCTGCATAATGGGCCTGCTAACGTGGCCAACTGGTGCAGCGGCCAAAATTGCAACGTTGCCGAAAGCTGCAATTCCTGATGTCCCTGGCAGGGGTTATGGGAGAACAGGTTAAATCCAACACGTTGCCCACAAGTTGTTGATGGGAAATTGAAGCGAAACATGTGCGCTCAATTTGCAGCTTCCTGGGGTAATGCACAATTACTTTTGGCCAAAACCGGGGGAAAAGGTGTGCGAATATTACACATACGCCGCATATGCCACAGTCGGTTAGAAGAATTACATTTGTCCATTGAATCGTAAAAATTCCCATTGCCATCATGCCTGACACATTTTGCGGCCAACCGCATTATGGCCCCCAAAAATGTGAGACGACCCGAAGTGTTCGATTGGGGAGAGCTTTCGCCAGAGTTCATTAGGCACATGTATGCACATTTGGCCGGGTCAAAATTCATAAATAATCACCAGACCTTTCATAATCACACTCACCTGTTCGTTGTTTGTTTTGCGGGGATGCTTTTTAATGCCTCTCCTCGCCCGCGCCTTGGCGGCAAAGTAAATTCGTATGTACACAAAGACCATAATGCAGCTGGGTATGTAGAAGGAGCCCAGTGCCGAGTACAGCACGTAGCCAATGTCCTCGCTCAGCTGCAACAGAAAAGGGTGAAGGTTAGACATTATCAGCATGGGTTAAATGGGTTTGCCCAAATGGGTGCCAAAGGTGGTGTCAGTCAGGTCGAATGTCATATCAACGGTTTTGCGGAGTGAGTCATTAAAGTATACACTCTAGACATCAAATGCAAGTTACTGCAGACCGAACAATGGTATCCTCAACTTTGGAAAACAACTTATTTTATTCGATCTTTTTTTTTATACATTTAAGAAAATTTGTATTTTTTTTAAATATACCCAAGTTTGACTCATTCTTTTCAATTTGATTTAATTTTAAAATGTGTTTATAATTAGGCTTGTTCTTATCAAATTTATAGTTCAAAGAAGTTTTGTAGCTATGTATAGTACCCTTGAATATTTAACAATATTCAAAAAATCTAAGCTACACTTAAGTTAAGTTTCAATTTATGCCAACAATGTTTCTCGAGCTAAATTGTTCTTTATCGACTTCTATAGAAAATATTGATTACTCTTTATTCTATAGTCTTAATTAAATGTTGCCTTATCTGCCATCACCTAGGAAGTTTATTGCCGCATTCAATGAATCCCTTGAGTTTGACTCGTCGTCAACAAAGGATCTTATGGGTATTAACTTTACCAAGTTACCTCAATTATCGTTGCCAGATTAAATTTACGACGTAACATCCGCCTTGACTCCGCCTTTCCTTCGTAATTTTTATCCTTTTAGCTCGGCTTGTTGCTCTCGGCCATATTTTCAGGCTTGATAGTGGAATAGTGGGGTCATTGAGTGCATTAGGCTGATTTACTGAAAAATGCATTTTGCCTGGCTCAAACGGTTTTTGTCTGATGCTGCCTCCGTCGTCAATTCTGCGCCCCAGGTTCGCTTTTCCGGAGCATTTATGTGAAAAATGCAAAGTGCATGAAATTTCATAACGCTAAATGAAGTAAAAGTATTAGATTACCGCACAGCACAAAAGGTTTCTTCTTCCACCTAGCAGTAAAAAGTTTTCGACGCTGAATTGTGTGGCACATTTTCTGGCGCTTGCAATTGCATTTTATTAAAGCTGGTGGAATTAAATCGTCTCATACTTTCTGCTCCCACTAGAACTGGCCGCCCAACTCTCTTCGCAAAAATTATGCAAATTAAGTGTTTTGATGAAAGGCATTCGAAAAAGTGCACTTGACAGCAGAAGGAGGAGGTTGAGAAGGGATTGCCCGAGCAGCTTTGCCCTTTTGAGTTTGCTGTTCGTGTTGTTCGCCGGCGAGTGGCGTGCATAATGAAAAGCTTTTGTCCCGTTGTTACTGCCGCTGCTTGTAGCTCACCTCAATCCTCACTATTCAGCACTCCTGAAAAAATGCATAATTCTACACTGAAGGAAAGTGCTTTAAGAATTAATATATTTTAAGCAATTTCTGATTTGTCTTGTCTTCAAATTGTGTGCCAAAAACTGTGTAGCGCCTTAGTCATTAGGTTTTAATATTGTTTTGTTTGTCAAATAAGTCTCCAAAACTTCTCACTACCACATAAAACTGAAATTTGCTGAACAACTAGCTTTAATCACAAAAATTCCAATATTTTAAAAATCGCTTGTGTAGTTACTTTTTTTTTTAACCATATTCATCTTTGCCTTTAAAATTTATTACACTTGGCCACCCAAAAATACTACATATTTTAGAACAGAAAATTTGGAAGAGCCTTAAATACCATAAGACATACAACATTATTTTCCCTGGGTTCCAAAAAATTAAGGGCCTTCAAAAATTTATACATAAAGCAATCAAAGGTGTTTATTTTAGGTGATTTGTAAAGGGAAAAAACGTTTAATATTTTACAAATTCTTTTTAATTTGAAAAATAATGAAAAGGAAACGTTGTTTTTTTTCAAATGCAATTTTGACCTTAATACTTTGATCTTTTTGAAGACACTGTGACATACGCAACAAGTATAAGTCTTTACTTGTGGGTAAGGATTTTAGTAAATGAAATAAAATAAAAAAAATACATTCACCTATTATTTCTTCAAAACTTAGCAGCAATATATTATATATTGTACTCCTTATAATGGTTTCTTATTTACTATGGGATTTAATATTTTATTAAGCTGTTTTCCACTTATCATAGTAAATTCACCCTTTTATAGCGCAGTGCCGGAAATCTGTGCCCGACATCAGCTGGTCAACTAGAGCTTCCTCCCAATGGGGAGCTGCAGTAGCCGGTTAAGAAATCGACTAGCAATTTATAACAAATTCTTTACGGACTTTATATACGAGTATATCTGGGAAAGAAGCTCGGGTACAAACGAAATTTATTTAAGTTTTAAGCTGCTTACACTCACATACACATACGAAGGCAAATTGAATTGCCGGGAAGGGGAGCCAACTGTAAATACGAGCACATAGCTGGACTCGTGTGCAGAGGCAGCTTAAGTGCAGCCCAGTTTATCATAAGCCGCAGGCGAAGTTGCAGCAGAAACAGGCTGAGCTAGACAACTTTATCCGGCTGCCAAAGCGGAATATAAATTTGCCCGGCTCTCCCCAACCCTCCATGCACCGGGTTGTGGCAACAAAATAAGCATAAAGTATTAAGCGCTGGGTATAATGTTGCCGAAATATACATCAAGTGGTAGGTTGAGACGAGCAGGAGCACAGCAGCAGCAGAGGCTCCAAAGAGATGAGAAGACCCACCAACAGCTACTTAAGCTGGATTCTTGAATGCTGACGCTGCTGCCTGGCTGTCTCGGTTTTCAACTTATTGCCTGCCACAGAGGCAGCACGCAAACTGCACTCAAAAAAAAAAATGTTCTGGAACTTGATCAGTTATCAAATTATGCCCTCAATAATAAAATAAATGAAACTAACTAATTGTTCGCCACTTTGAATATTTAGAAAGCAACGATTTTATATGTTTGGGCATCAAATTAATTTGTAATATAAAATAATCAATTTAAATAATAAATTTATTCTCTAAAAAAATTGAACATTGAATTCACTTTAAGTTACATTTTAAAAATATATATATATTTTTGAGTCATAATGATTATTCTAAAGTACATCTTTTAAGACTACATTTAAAAAATAATGCAATTTATTTTTTACTACTTAGCTCAAACAGATTTTCAATACAATGGTATTTGGTTTATCATCTATTAAATAAAAATGTGGGAAAATATAATTTTAAATAAATATAAAACTTTAAATTTACCATTTTGGTAAATACATTTTTGGGTAAAAAAAAGAATTTGATAAATTGTGATAATTACGAACTTATTTACTTGTTTGTGGTTAAAATTTGTTTGTAACCTGTTTTTATAAGTGTATATATTGCAGTTACACGAACAGAGTTTGCACTGTTGTGGCTGCTCTTGCAGCAGCATTATAAATGGTCTCATCATTTACGGTTTGCAGTTGATATATTGACAGCATTTGTCAGCACTTCACGCGGAACTGAAACGAACTGTAATCGCACTGCCTCGAACCTCAGTTGAGTTTTCTGTTCTGGGCCAAACGAGTTTCGGTGGCATTAAGGCCAAAGTTGGGCAAAAACTTTTCTGGGTAGGCCGAAATGTTGCGCATACGCGACGTGTGTGCACGTCGCTCAGGAAACACCTGTAGCAACAGCGGGCCGAAAGTTTTCCACAGTGATAATGTTGTTGAGCCGGGCGGCGGGGAAAAGTGGGGAAAAAATATTTTATTAACGCATTTGAACAAAGCTCTTAAACTGACATTTGTGCGGGCCAAGAACGTGTTGGCCAGGCAGGAAACTACTGGGCGAACAAATAAATTGTCAACTGTGCGTGACGATAACTTTTTGCTGCGGATTTAATATAATTGAAAACTTCACTCTGTCGCTGCATTTTCCTTTGGCCCCTTTTCCGTTTTCCGCCTTCCTTCTTCAGTTTCCCATTAAACCATTTCCATGCACCTTCAGTGCTTCCTTCAGAGCTACAGAGCTTCAGGCCTTCAATCCCTCAATCCACAAACCCCCCCTTAATCCAATCCGCAAGCTGCATTTGTGCTAATTTGCAGATTTTCAAATTGCAGAGGGCGCCTTTGTTTATTTAAAAGTTTTCCCACGCGCTCGCCGAAGAAAGAGCGTGCGAAAGCAGAGAGGGCCAAGGAAAACAAGGAGCGAGGCGAAAAAGAAAAATAATTATTCTGCAATTTTTAATTAAATGGCAATGGTAATTGTTGTTGCCGCTCCAGCTTCTGCTGCTTCTGCTGCTTCCCCTGCATTGGCGAACTTAAGCTGGCGGAAACAAAAACTCATTATGCGCCACCAAATTCGTTAGTCGAGTAGGAGCAGAAGCAGGAGCCACGGCAACAGCAGAAAAAGCAAAGGCAACAGCTAAAAGTGTTGATGATGACAAGTGCCACAAAAGAAGGATGAAGGACGAAGGCAATGTCGAGCAAAAAAAACAAAAAGAAAGGAAATAAGAAAAGTGATGAAAGGGCTGACGCAGACCGAGTGGAAACTTATCGAAATGTAAACATGGAAAAACAGGCCCAAATGAGCGTAATTAAAAATATTAAATTGCGCTCTTTCGTTTGCTCGCTTCGGCCACGTGGCGTATGAGCGATGCTTTAAAGGTATGTCAACTGCTGCGGGCGCTTATGGCCACCAATAGCTGCCAGCAATCGCAAATAATATGTAATGAAAGAAAATAAGGAAGAAATTCCGCTGTAAACACAAAAGAATTTCAATCCGCATTGCACTGCAGAAAGTTTGCGCGCGAGATCGAAAAAAAGAACGCAGAACAAAAAGTTGAGTCAAGCTCACAAACGTACAAACAACAAAATGTGTGTGTAAGTGCCACACTTAACAAAAAATTCTTACCAAAATAATCACAAAAGAGAAGAAAATAGTTCTAAATAATATAATAATAAAAAAATAATAATAAAAATTTTTTCAATTATTTTTTTTATATGCATACAAATTAAAGGTGAAAGATAAAATATTTTCAAATATTTTAATAAGTAAATATAATTTTGTTTTTCTTCAACTAAAACGTTGAGTTG